TCTTACCGTCTCTATCCTTGAAGTAAAAAATAACTTGGGTCAAGATAGACCAGCTGGAGCAACAAGATAAATAAGGATAGTATTAGATGGTGACTCATGGAATCAAATAAGTGTGCATGAGTCTGTACTTATATAAAGTAATAATTTTGTAAATAAATAAGTGGGAGTGAGAGGGAATCTCTTATGCAGAGAAGAATTCCAGTTAATAAATTGGAAGGAATGTAGAAGGAATGTGGGAGATGCAAAATCACCACTAGGCAAACACCACCTGTTACTTGTTTCTGTGAAGGTCCTCAGATGGATGCTAAAACCAGTGGGTAAACGTTTGAGGATAAACAGGATACCTGTACAGTCTCAAAGTCTCTCCCTGAGATATTTATCAATTATGAAGAGGGAAAACAGTGACTTTAGGGTGGAGAAACCCAGCAGACACCAACTTAACCAAGTGACCAAGGTTGACATTGCCATTAACAAACTGTACTGTACTGAGGGATACCTAGGTGGGTCATTTGGCTAAGCGGCTGCCTTCAGCTCAGGTCATGATCCCAGGGTGCTGGGATCGAGTCCCATAACAGGCTCCTTGCTCAGCAGGGAAACTGCTTCTCCCTCTGTGTGCCACTTCCCCTGCTTGTGCTCTCTCTCTGACAAATAAATAAATAAAATCTTAGAAATAGACAAACAAGCTGTACTGACACCATATACCCACCGGTATATGTCCCTGAGGACATATGGCTTCTACGATATTCTGACCAAACAGTATACGAGTTCAATCTTATCATGAGAGAAATCATGCAAATCCACGCCAGGGGACATTCATCAAAATAACTGATAGACTCATAAAAATTGTTAACGTCATGAAAGATAAGGCAAGACTGGGGCACTGTCACAGACTGGAGGAGACTAAGGAGACATGTCAACTAAATACAACATGGGCTTCTGGCTTGAATCCAAACACAGGAAAAGAACATTACTAGAAAAACCAGTGAAATTCAAATACTGTTTGTAGTTTGGTTAATTGTACTTCAACCAACATTGATTTCCTGATTTTGATACATGAATTATGGTTATGTAATTATTAACATTAAGGGAAGCTGGTTGAAAGGTATATATGAATTCCCTGTACTATTTTTAAAAATTTCTCTGTCAAAAATTAAATCAAAATGAAGTTTTTAAAAATGTAATTCTTAGTGACTACACAAGAATAATAAATTGGACTTCACAAACAACCCCTGAGGAAGGAAACCACCTTATGCACATACATATACACAGACAGATAGATGCATTCAAGCAAGTCCCAGCTCAAACACCAGACTCCTGCCTCCTGGCATTCTATGAAAGGTATTTCCATAGCAGAACATGCCATCCTTGGGTTCCTGGCTGAACTTGCCATCCCTGTGGGGGTCAGGTGTTGGTTCAGCTGCCCCAGAGAGTATGTCCTCTGGGAGATCCTGCACAGAGGTGTAAAGCAGAAACAGTTTGATAACAGTTCCTTTACCTGTATCGAGCCAGGTGGGACACAGAGAACCTGTTCAGGGCCCCTGGGCTTGAACCTATGGTTGAACTAGGGCCACTTCTCCCATGGGCACTGGCCAAGTCAGTGTGGGGTTGGAACTATGTCTTATTCTGTGGGTCCTGGAACTTCCTCAGGGGGAAAGGGGCTCAGCAAGACTCATCACCCATGATACTGGCTGCGACTTGACCTTAGCACAGCTCCCATGATGCCCATGTGTACAGCCAGAGGTAATGGGGTCCTGCCCTACCTCTCCTCACACACTGCCGGATGCTGCCCATTTGCTGGTACTGGGGACTATAGCATGGCCTCACCGTGTCCTCCCAACAACCCAAAGAAGCTATGCATGCTTATGATCCTCATTTTAAAAATTGTAAAAACAAACAAACAAACAAAAAAAAACCCCCACCCAAACAACATAACACAATATTTACTATCTTAATGGTTTTTAAGTATACAGTTCAGTAGAGTTAAATATATCCATATTGTTATTCAATCTCCAGAACTCTTTTCATCCTGCAAATCTAAACTCTATATCATTGACCTATATAACTCCCATTCCCCCCTGCCCCTAGTAACTACTTCTTTCTGTTTCTATGAGTTTGACGACTCTTTTTATTTCATGTAAGTGAAATCACACAGTTTTTGTCTTTTTGTTACTGGCTTATTTCACTTAGCATAATGTCCTCAAAGTTCATCTGTATTTTAGCATGTGTCAGAATTTCCCTCCTTTGTAAGGCTGAATAATATTCCAATATATCTATATGCCACATTTTCTTTATCTATTAATCCATTGATGGACATCTGGGATGATTTTACCTTTTGGCTGTCGTGTATAATGTTGCTATGAACATAAACATACAAATATTTATTTGAGACTTTGCTTTCAATTCTTGTGTATCTATGCCTAGAAGTGATATTGCTGGATTCAATGGAATTCTTCTTCTAAATTCTTGAGGAACCGCCATACTGTTTTTCACAGTGGCTACACCTTTTTACACTCCTACCAGTAGTGTACAGGGGGTCCCCTTTCTCTACATCCTTGCCAACACTTGTTATTTTCTGTATTTTTTTGATAGGAGCCATCCTAATGGATGTGAGGGGACATCTCATTGTGTTTTTTATTTATATTTCCTTCATGATTAGTCATATTGAGCCTATTTTCATACACTTGGATCCCCTCTTACAGTTAAGGAAACTGAGGCTTTTAGCAGTGATGTAACCTGCTGAGGTGAGCCAAGAGGCTAGGGGTGGGATCAGAACTGGCCCTCCAGTCTGACTCCAGAACTTCTCCCTGGGCCACTATCTCTCTGGGGAGAGCCACCTCCCCCTACTTACCCTGGAGCTTCTCCCCTTCTTCCTCCCAAACAGCAGCACCCATTTGTCTCTTATTTTATCCCACAACCCAAAAAGGAAGCAAAGAAGGGAAAGGCTGCTGAAAAAAGCAAACCATTTTGCATTAGTGTGAACATGTGATGATATGCGGCCCCAGAGGTGCTCACAGGATACTATGAGCAGAGCACATCAGGGAGAGCTATGGCCTTGGAGGCCAACAGCTACCCCACTCTTCACCCTGACGTGAATAACACCAGCAAGGAAGGGAAAAGAGACAGGTCAAACCAGTTGTCGGGGGGTGCTGTGGCTACTAGGGCTAGCTCCAGTTCAAGCTCCGATGAGACTTCCAGGAATTGAGTTGGAGGGAGTTGCCCCCAATCTTAGATGCCCCAGGAACAGGCTGTGGGCAAAGGATGGGCACAGACTAGAAGCCCCTGCTAGGGGATCAACACCAGAGAATCAGGGTCAATTCACAGCCCAAGGTAGCTGTGGTGCCAATGCTGGGGGGATCCAGAGGTAGTCCACAGGCTGAGCCCACTTTTCACAGGTCCTATAGACTCTGTAGTCACCACTCCTAGCTGGCCACCAGGCTCTTGCCAAGGAAACTCCTGCAGATTCCTCACTGGTCTTGTTGTTTTTCATAGCAGCTAGAGTAAGCCTCTGCCAACTATGGCCATGTTACCCCTTGCTTAGAACCCTTATTATTTCCTTATTTCCTCACTCTCCTCAGAGTAAAATCAATTCCTCAACATTCCTGCAATGCCCACTGTGAAATGATTCCTGCAATGCCCACTGCAATGCCCACTGTGAAATGCCCACTAGGCATTTCTAGCCACATCTGCCATTCCCTGAACACCAGCTACCTGGATCTATGGGAATTCCAACCACAGAATCTGCCATGTTCTTTGCTTGGACAAGGTCTACTCATATTTCCAGATTCAGGTCAAATTTTATCTCTTCTTCTTGGAGTATTTCCTCACCCTGTTATCCCTACAGAGAGGGTAATATATATTGTCCCAGGTCACACAGCAAGCCAGCCAGAATTTGAATTCAGGCTCCAGAACTCGATTAGCAAGTAGGGTGGAAGTTAGCCCCCCTCTATAACGTGGCAGTGTGCCCCATGGGCATCTGAGCTTTGAGAGCAGGACCCAAACCCCAGATGTCTACAGTCTGGTGCCCGCACAAGGCCAGTTGTGGTGCCTGACAATTGCCACATTGGGAAAAGAAATAAGGGCTACGAGGGACCACACTCGGGTTTTTCTTGGGAGGAACATAGAGTAGGGGAAAAGAAACTGGGAAAATTCTACCTTCCTGATAAGGAAAAGCAGGAAACTAGTTTAGGTATACCCTCCTCAAATGGACCCAGCATCTCATGGCCCTTACTAGACGCAAAGCAAGAAGTATAGGGGAGGAAGTGTGTGTGTAGCCTGACTCCTGAAACTTAGAAAACTTGCCACCAAACCACTTAGAATCCCAAGGGGCTAATGGCATAATCTGAAACCCCTGTCCACCACTGGATCCTGTGCTCAAAGGGGTCTGAGTGAGTCCGTCTGCTTATCAGTAGTACATTGGGGCTGGGTTTATGGCTCCTATGGCCCCCTGAACCCAGTCACCATCAGGCCCACCATCAGGAGGGCCTCTGCTCCTTTTCAAAGAAATTGGAGCCCCAAGACAGGACCTCAAGCCTCACCAAAAGGTGGATGGCAGAACAGTAGACGCCCTGCTGCTTGGAGAAGTCTGTGGCCAGGAAACAGGTCAGACCTGCCTATCGCACACCGGGCAGCAAGGCTCTTTGTGTCTGCACTTGGGCTCAGCAGAGATCCCCAGACCCCTCCTCATGTGGGGAGCAGGAACTTGACAGGGACTGTATATCGGAGCAGTTGGGACAGGCCTCTTGGGAAACAATTTCCTCTGTTGTGAAACTCATAAAGGAAAAGACAGTTGGTGACAACAGTCCCTGCGCCATCTCCTCCAACCCATCATGAATAAGCCTCACAGAAGTCCTGCTCTTGTGGGTGGCCCACACATGTTAGACGGCTCACCCAGGTTGCTCGCCAGCCACTCAGGTTTGAGGGAAAGCGGGGAACGCTCACCCAGGGACTGCCAGGGAGTCTCCAGGGGTCTGAAGCAGATGGAGAGTCATTCACATACCCACCTCGGTCACGATGGTGGACAGGTAGACGTCCTGGCTGAACTCCCAGCCATCCACGCAGCTCTCCTGCTCCAGCTGCTCCAGGTCCACATCGCGCCCCGGCTCCAGCCCGAGCGCCGAGAAGTTGGCGATCGCCGCCAGCCGGTAGCGCCGGCAGCTGTGAGGCACCTCGCGGCCGTCCAGCAGCCGCAGCGGGATACTGTGGTTGCGCCACGCGCGGCTCAGGTTCGCGGTGTCCGGCACCCGGCAGCGGTGCTCCGGAGCGGCGGCCAGGAACACGACAGACATTCCATTGAAGCCGTTGGGGATGATGCTGGCGCTGAGCAGGAAGAAGATGAGGCGCTGGAAGGGCCCCCACTCGCCCAGGAAGGTGGTCACCTCGTCGTAGTCCCGCATGCTGCCCACCGCGGCTCCGCGGCTGCAACAAGGGGTGCTGAGAGCGGCCCCCGGACAGAGTCGCACGGTCGAGGGCTTGCCCGGAGCGTTCCCGGCGGCCAGACAGCCTGCGGGAGACTGGGGCGCACGGCGGGGTAAGCGTCCCGGGGAAACAGGCTGCGGGCGTTCGAACGCTCCCGGGAGCGAGGCGCAAAGCTGGAAGCCACTGTAGGCTCTCGGGACCACACCCCCATCCCCGCAGGGGCGGGGAGGAGAAGGGAGGGGAGGGGAGGGAGCCAGCGCCGCGGGGGTGGGGCTCCCAGCCGGCTTCGCCTCATGCTCCGCCCCTCTCCCCGCGCGACCCCTTTGCCGAGCCTGACCCGGCCGGGGGTGTAGCCTGACTGAGGCAATGGAAGCTCGGCTCCCGCGCACCGCGCGTCGCCCGCGACCCCAAATGCTGAGTCCCAGACCCAAGCCGCCGTATTGGGTCCCACAGGGGAGAGCGTCGCCCCAGGCCTCGCCCGGGACAGGGGTCTCTCCCTGGCCCTTCCAATACGAAGTCTGAATTCAGGGGGCCTCCAGCGGAGCGCGGGCGGGCGAGTCCGTGGAGTCGGTGCTCCTAGCAAGCCTCTGCAGGCGCAGGGGTGACGGGAGTGCGACCTCTGCGCTGCCACGCACGCGGCTCAGGTGGCCGGCGCCAGGCGCCAGGCGCCAGGGCGCTCACTCCCCACAGTCGGAGGAGGGCTGGGCTCAGTCACCCAAGCGGCGCCTCTCGGGGAAAATGTCTTCGGGGTAGCCCGGAGCCTCACCTTTAGAAAAGGGGAAAACAAGCCCAGAGCCCAGAAGGGATGAGCAAGGTCATGCGGCGTCAGTGACAGGCTCTGACGGAGGGAGGTGGGGGCAGGGGCCACCGGGTCGTCCCATGATCCTGCCGGGGGCCTCTACAGAGGACTTGCACACGGAGCCTGGCCGTTAGAGCACAGTCATGGTGGTTCTCCTCTCACCACTTCTGGGGTCTGATTTGGATCTTTTCATTGTCCCCATGCCCCAGGGTTCTTTACTGGGGCTGACTGCCAGAGTTTTCTTGGACTGGAAGGCCTCTGGGTCGCAAAAGGCACTACCCACTCTCTGGGAAGCCGGGGTGGCGGGGAGGAGAAGGTCCAGTTTGGCTAGATCTGGCAGGGAAACCAGAGCAGGGACCACACATTGCTCAGTGCCCAGGCTTAGCGCCCTCTGCTATTGCGTGAGCTAGCTAGAGACTGTGCTCTGGGTCCTGGAATTCATGAGGCAATCAGATGAGATTGGCAGGTGTTTCGAGATTGTGTACAAGGGTGTTTGCTTCTCCAGGCCCCGGTTAGGAGACTGAGGGACGTTTCTACCTTGGTTTTCATAGCTTGCAGTCTGATGCCTCCACTTAAGCTGGCTTCTCACTCCCCTGGAACCTGTTTTCTGTGATAAGACCATATGTCTGGGGTGCCTGGGTGGCTCAGTCCTTAAGCGTCTGGGGTCATGATCCCTGGTCCTGTGATCCAGACGCCATCAGGCTTCTGGGAGGGTGGGGATGCCTGCTTCTCCCTCTTCCACTCCCCCTGCCTGTGCTCCCTCTCTTGCCATGTCTCTCTCTGTCAAATAAATAAATAAAATCTTTTTAAAAAAGGAAAAAGACCATATGTCCTTCTGCACCAGGACAGGTCTGATTTATGCCTGTTAGTCATGTGAAATTATTAATAGCACATCTCTTTACTTTAAAAAGTATCCTTGGGGCACCTGGGTGCCACAGTTGGTTGGGTACACAACTCTTGATTTTTAGCTTAGGTAATGATCTCAGGGTGTTGGGATTGCATGAGACACTTCCCCACCCCCCAAGAGCTTCACACTCAGTTGGAGTTTGCTTTGGGATTCTCTCTCCTCCTGCCCTCCTCACTCCCCTGCAGAAATAAATAAAGAAATCTTTTAAAAATTTTCCTTTAAACAATAATCTATGTCATCGTTGTCTTACTTACCTTGAATTTCATCCTTCCCTTTTCTCCCAAAAGAAAAGCAAAGTCTGAGATAAAAATTTATGTGGAGATAGCTAATTTCGAGTAGTGATCCCAGGAAAAGGAAGTGAGGGGCTAGGAAGAGTGAACAGGGAAGGTAAGGCCAGCAAAGACTGTGTAACTGAGCAGGTTATTGGAACCCGGGTCAGTAATTATGTTATGCTGAAATATATTAGATCCTAAAGCCAAAGGAAAAAGTTAATAATATTGATCCTATCTTTACTTCAAATTTTGATATTGTTGATCATGGATTTTTATATAGACCCATGGATTTTTAGGACCCTGAAATCATGACCTGAGCCAAAGGCAGACCTTTAACTGACTGAGCCACCCAGGTGCCCCTAAAGATACTTTTTTTTTTTTTTACAACAATGAAGGAAAAGTGTTACCGGCATTCGGTAGGCAGAGGCCAGCAATCTATGAAACATCCTAAAATGCACAGGACAGCCCCCCACTACAAACAAAAATTATCTGGCCCAAAACTTCAAAAGTGCCAAAGTCAAGAAACCCCAATTATGGCACATAGAATGTATGGTGATTATAAGGATCATGGAGTTGAATGGCTTTTGTTAAGTGCTTTAGAGCCTTGAAGAAACAAAATGATAGGCCCAGGGTGCCCGGGTGGCTCATTTGGCTAAGTGACCCACTCTTGGCTTCAGCTCAGGTTGTAATCTCAGGATTCTCTCTCTGTCTCTCTCTCTGCCCCTCCTCCTGCTCTCTTTCTCTCTCAGATATGTGTTCTCTCTCTCTCTCTCTCTCAAATAAATAAATAAAAGCTTAAAAAAAACCACACACACACAGAGAAAATGATAGGCCCAGGTCAGCCATCTGTAAACTGAAGGCACACTGTGTTAAGCCTGGAAACCTCCATGGCAGCTCTTAACAAGGCCCTCATTCCCTGTGGCCTCAGGGAAGATTGTACTGGAAATCAAATCCAGGATTTAACTGATTTAACTGTAAGAGTAGGACAGCTACATAAAAAGACTGCGTGCACAGCTTTTTTTTTTTTTTTTTTAAGAGAGAGAGCTTGAGAGCATGACAGCATGAGTGGGTGGGGGGTGGGAGAGGCTGAGGGAAAGGGAGAGGGAGAACCTTAAGCAGGCTCCACACCTGGCAAGGAGCCCAACACGGGGTTTCGCTGAAACTCATCACCCTGAGATCACAATCTGAACAGAAATTGCTCAGTTGGTTGCTGGGGCACCTGGGTGGCTCAGTCATTGGACACCTGCCTTTGCCTCAGGTCATGATCTCAGGGTTCTGGGGATCAAGCCCTGCGTGGGGCTCCTTGCTCAGCGGGAATCCTGCTTCTCCCCCTCCCACTCCCCCCACCTGTGTTCCCTCTCTCACTGTCTCTCTCTGTGTCAAATAAGTAAATAAAATCTTTAAAAAGGGGGGTGGCTGGTTGCTTAACCAACTGAGTCACCCATACACCTCTGCATGCACAGGTCTGATAGGTGTTCTCTGACAAAGTCATGCCCCTAATAGGAAAGGCATAGAATCCTGAAAAATCCTGAAATTTCTAAACAGAAACACTTGGTAAATTAATGTGGGCATTTTGAATTCCTGGATTCTCTTAAACCTTCAAGTTCAGCAGCAGCTGCAGCAGCAGCAGCAGCTCTCTTCTTCCTATATGAGAGTAACCTCTCCTTGATGGGAATCCCTGCTAAGACTCCTCTAAAGGCAAGGGGCTCCAAAGATGATGCTTATCTTCCTCAAGATCCTCCCCTGCCCACCCTCCACCACTGCCTCCAGACCAACAACTATGGTGAAGTCTCAGCACAGCCCAGGTAGGGAAATATAGACCCTGATCCACAGGGAAGTGGCATACTCATTGGGGAAAGAGAAAAGAAAAGAAAAAGAAAGGAAAGGAAAGGAAAGGAAAGGAAAGGAAAGGAAAGGAAAGGAAAGGAAAGGAAAGAAAAGAAAAGAAAAGAAAAGAAAAGAAAAACAAGCCCTATGTTTTGGTAGGAACATGAGTAACATGTGGGACTTTATTGACGTAGGAGCACTCTATCATAATGCTGGGTTTAACATCGAAGCAAGGATACAGAAAAACATATCCATTTGCTTCCGAGATGGCTCTTTGGACACAATTATGGCCTACTGAAAGAAGCTGGAGATGCCAGAACTTTCTTGACCGATTATGAAAGGAGTAGGAAGGCTCAGGGGAGTGAGAGTGTTAGATTGTATTTATCATGCCAGACCAGAGAACATATCACCATATTGCATTCCCAAGGCACGTCCTGAGGATACTCCCTTCTCTAAGACAATACAAAATACACAGGTGAGGATTCCTAGTGTCAGTGAGGATAAGATTCTAGAATAGCAGAGGCTAGATGGCGACACAATCATCAGAGGCAGGGTGGGGGTTGTTACAAGACCAAAGTAGCAACCAGCATGCTTGGTCCTATAGCCATGTGGTGGTGATGGCTAATCGACCACGGTGTTCCTAGGAGTTAAGTGAATGGGCAGATGACCAAGTGTTACTTGACTTGTATAACAAACTCACCCCCAAAAGCAAAAACTAAGAAGCAGAAGGCTGATGGATGCTACCACAATGGGAAAGAGTATTTTCTCATTAATTTCCCAGATGTAGGCCAGTTCATAGGCTCGGAGCCTATTGATTGAAAAGGAGGCCAAGTCTCCTATAGTGCCAAAAGTATATATGACAATTATTTCTCTAATATCTTCCCACAAGGGATCCGCGGTTATCGTAGTCTGCTCAAGCTGCCATAACAACATATCACAGACTGGTAGGTTTAAACAATAGAAATTTATTTCTCATGTCTGGAGGCTGGAAAGTCCGAGATCAAGGTGCTGGCAGATTCAGTTTCTCATGAGAGTCTTCTTCCTGGTTTGTAGACAGCCACTTTGTTATGCGCTCCCTCATGTGTCTTCTTCTAAAGGCACTACTCTCATCATAAGGGCCCCACTCTCATGATCTCATCTAAACATGATTAGTCCCCAAAAACCTCATCTCCA